ATATTTTAGTATACCTGGAAGTATAACTACGTAGCGTGCGGCTAGAATTTTGAGGTTTTTTAGGTTTGCCCGGTAACTTATTGGTATTATTGGAATCTCTATTTTGATTTTGGAGAGTAGTTAATGGAAGTCATGAAGAAGATGCTGATGCCACAATAGTATCATTCATATTTGTTGAAATTGGAGTTTTAACTTCCAAGTCATAAACTTGATCAGTAGCCTGAGTGTGTAATTAAAAATTAATTTAGTAGTGCTTTTTTTTTGAGATAATACATTTAGCTTTTTACATTAAGCCTAAGACTAGTTACAAATTCTTGAAGAGTTTCATTTGATTCTGAATAAGTAGAAGTACAAGAGATGGATTGTATGAAATCACTCAATTCAACCAATTGTTCTTAATTTATAAGTAGTTAATAAAGTTATTATGTATAAGAAAAATAACAACTATAATTAGTATTATACGTACCAGGTTTACTTTTTTGTTATAAAGTGAACGATTATTGTTGTAAAGTGAATGATTATTTATTTTGCGTTTCTCTGTATCACCTATTTAAAAATAATTAATTACGCCTACATGCATACTTTATAAACTATAATTTTATGCACATATGTACATATGTTTGTTATTTATTATTCCTCGCATCATTCGTCTAATAGCCCAGTCACATGTTGTAGAAGGAAATTTTGGGTTCTTTCGCTTGAACTAAAATAAAAGTTTTTTGTTTAACTATTTTAAGCAATCAACAATACAATTAAATTATGATTATATTTGCCTTTCTAATAATTTCACTCTTTTTATTCTCTGGAATTTTTCAAATTCAGGCATTTGCTTTGCATATTTAACCGTAATCATCAAACAAAGCGATTCCTAGATAACATCAATAATTATTATGATTATTTATTTATTATAATAATTATGCAATACATTCAATTTATCTATGATCTAACTCTTTCTAACGATCCTCTGGTCAACAACAACAAAAATCGAACTACAGCAAAACGTATAGAAAAGCGACGAAATGGATACTAAAACTTGGTCCTATAAATAGGAGCAGCTTGTTGTCGACAAAGTCTAAGCATCTAGACGTGAAATACCAAGGAGCAGATGTCAAAAGAATACGGACGGTTTTCTTTAGGGTTTAGTTTTCTTTCTAACAGACTCTCTAAAGTATTCGGCATCCAAACCAGAAGGTTTATTCTGAGAACAAGTCTGTAGAAGTAACCAACGCACACTTCTAAGTGGTAGAAATGAAGAAGCTGGACTATACAACTGTAACTCTTACAAGAAGAACCTCATATACTCTCGTTGGCCCACCACTTTTTTTCGAAAAAATTTTTTCACAATCTCCTCTTGAAATTATCACAAACATGACCTCATCAT